TGGTGCTTGAGTGGTGGATTAGAGAGGCAAAGGATCAGAAGAGGATACAAGCGCATGGAGGATGCTGACAAGAGAGGATGTGCTGGAGGGCTCCAGGGTTCCACACAGGCAGATGAGGAGACAAAGCCAGTCACTTGTCTTCTCACCATTTCCTCGGCCTTTCCCTCTTGCCGGCAGCCTTCTGGTTGTAGCATAGCTTCTGTGCCTGGGACGCTGATGTGCCTGCTTCCTAGTAGGAGGAGGATAAAGAGAGGTGTCTGCCCCCTTCTATCGGGAAAATGCTGTCAAGGACATCCCCAGCAGCGCTGTGCTTGTGTTCCATTGGCCAGACTGACTCATGGCCACCCCAGGCCAGGAAGGCTGGGAGAACCAGTAAACCAGCTGGGATTATAACTACAAGGAAGAAGAGAATGGGTGAGCGAGCCGTGTATCTGCTGCTACTATTGCTGTTCGCACCTTAGTGTAAATAACTTATCAGTTGGCTTTTTTACCTGAAAGCTGTTACGCTATAGGAAAGGAATTTTGGCAGGTATGTAGGACAGAAATAGACCTAAGGTGAGGAAAGGGAAGGATAGTTTCGTGTACCGTGTGCTTTAAGAACACAGGTTTCTGAGGAGTTCCAAGTGCAGATCGTTGTATAAATAGAAAGTGGCCAGGCAATTGAGGGGCCCAAGGGCCAAGTGATGGGATGGGGTGATGAAAGCAAGATGTGATGGCAGCAGTGATGAACCCAATTTATAATTATAATTTTCCCAGGATTGGCAACTCTTCTGGTGTCCCAGTTGCTAAACAACCTCTCCAATGCCTGTTTATTTGGTTTTGTTTGTTTTTGTTTTTATTGCCATGCAAGCTAAACTTCACGGATGCCTGCTGTCAGTAAACCACACCCAGGACCCTTTCCAGGCCATTAAGAAAGATCCTAGTGGGGCTTCCCTGGTGGTGCAGTGGTTGAGAGTCCGGGAGGATCCCACGTGCCGCAGAGCGGCTGGGCCTGTGAGCCATGGCCGCTGAGCCTGCTATCAAGAACAAGGCCAATCATGAATTAGCTCAACAGGAAGAGCCCAAAGGAGGGGGAGATCCTGAATCGTTGCCTTTAATTTCTTTTCTCTCATTTTTTTTCCCAGTTAATTTTAGTTCAGTTTCATCTTGGAAGTTCCTTTGGCTGCAGAGGTGTGGGTTTTCCCTGCAGTGAGGTCAGGGCACTGGGCTTGGGGAGGATCGTTTTCATTCTTGGTCTCCCCATGGATGGAGCTGCTGGCAGCTCTCAAAGGCAGACAGTGACTCTTTGTGGACACCGCAGTGGGTGACTTGCCAAAGGTCATCTACGGAGATGGGGAGAAGCTACCATCCTCGGGCTTCCCACTTGTACTTGTGGCCCACAGGAAACCCAGAGAAAGGTTTGCCCTTTTAGTGTAACTTCTGTTATCACCAGTTCAAGCATTTGGCACTGAACTGCTGGAAGATGGTTTTTTAAATTTGCGTTATTTAAAGAGATTCTATTGATTTATCATGCTATAGTTGCTACTTCAGATTCCTAACATATGCATGAGTGATTTATGAAAATGTTTGTATCTTCTAAAATTATAATTATTGAATATTGGTATATTTTTCTCCTATGTCCTCAATTATTTCACTCCGTAAAGAGCCCTGATTGCATGAACCACCCATCCCCCCTTTGAAAGTCAAGCTCTCCCTTCCAGGCCAGGTTTTTGTACCAGATAATTTGATATTACACTCTCATCCCTTTTAAACTACAATTAAAAAAAAAATTAAGTCAAATTTTTTAATATTTTTATTTGGAGAAAGTCGCATAATGAAGACAGTTCTACTTATTTTAGATTTTTGACATTCTAGTGAGATTACCGTGTTAAAAGAGTTTAATTCATCTTCTTAATTAGCAAAACATATTTATAGGTGCTCTATTAGACAGTGTATAAAGGAAAAAATACAGGCTCTTCTGAGAAGTAGTTTTCATTCTAAGGAATGAATTGATATTTTCTATTCAAGTCCATAAAATTAATTTCAAAGTGATTTGAAAATTACCTGTCACACAATTGACCATTTTTAGGTTCATCTCATGGATCTTTGTAGATCCCTCCATTGTATCAGGTGCCACATGGAATTCCAGCTCTCCGTTTACTTGCTTGTCTCCTCTGCCAGCCAGTAAGCTACCAAAATGATTTTGGATGAATATATAAATGGCTGGGAATGGGAAGGAGAGTAAAATTAAACAACTAATAATGAGTTGAAGCAAATCCTTTAAAAGGCGGCAGTTACTGGCACAGAAGTGCACGGTTTAACTAAGGCACAGCTGTGTTAAGATATCAGTGTAAAAACACATGGAAATATTTGCATCTTATTACCCCCAGATTTAGTTAGGGTCCTTTTGGCAGTAGAGAATAGCAAGAGTGGAAATGAAGGTTTCATCTTCCGCCCACCAGTATTTACTTCTCCATTCAATTCACAGAAGTCCCACCTTCCCTCACACCCTCACCATCGCTAGTGGGTCCTACTGCGACAGCCTCCGAGGTTGAGATCCCTGGCCCCTCCGTTCAGATAATCTTTCCAAATCATGGGCCTGAATATGTCATTTCTCCTTTAAAAAACAGCCAATGCCTCCTCATCATCTTAAAAGAAAGCCAAGCATCTCAGCATGCCCTGCTGCTGGGCTTCTCCTCACTCGCCCCATCCACCACCAAATGGACCATATACGTTAGTTATTGTAAATTTCTTGCAGCCCTTGCACTCGCCGTGTTGTTTCACGTCTCCGTGCTTTTTGCACATGCTGTTCGCTCTGCACGGACTGTCCCTCTGCCCTTTGTCTTCCTATAATCCCATCTTCAGCTTCTCAACTGGGCTCAACAGTTAAGTCCCTTGAGAGCCCTCCCTTCCTTCTCTCTCTTCCTTTGTGACTGAGTTTATCTGCTTCTCTTGTAACATCTCTTTGTCCATTGGTGTTATTTTGTGCATGTGGTGATTGTTTCCTGTGCACTGGCAGGAACTGGGTCTAGTTCATCTCTGACATAAGGATTCACACATTATCTGACATGTTGCATTTGCCTGATTCATATCTGTGGGAATGACTGAGTGAAAGAGTATTTGTAGACTTTGTTGAAGAGGTAGGGTTGTGGGAGATTTTCACATGGTGGGGATGAAAGGTTTAGAATGTCCTTGAATTCCAAGTCTATGTGGATTTAAGTTCCAAATACTGTATATTAGTTTTAGGGAAACCTTCTTTCTAGTCCTAGAGCATTGGTTCTCAAAGTGGTATCCCCAGATCAGCATCATCAGAGTTACCTGACACCTTGTTGGCAATGCAGATTCTTGGGCCCCATCCCAGACGTGGGCAGGACCCAGCAATCTGTATTTTAACAAGAAACACACTTAAATTTGAGAACCATTGCCCCAGGGAACAAGGAAGTCAGGATTGAGCAATATGCTGGTTTCCTAGTTTGAATTCAGTGCAGACCAGTGTGTTTACACAGGCTCACCAGTGTAAGGAAGAACCACTAGCGACTCTGTTCAATTTACCTAAGTATATAAGATCCCCCCCTTCAGATCTACTTTCCTTTCTTAGCCTGGGTTTCCTACATCCCTCAGTTTCTAATGGCAAAATAGAGAGTTCTAGAAAATAAGATCTAGAACATTTGGTTAACAGGAAAAGATATATCAGGAACGAAAAAGGCCTATTTATGTTGGAGCAAGTGCATTGGCCTCAGGGTCTGCCGTACCCATTGGGGAGAGGGAAGGACACAGTGGTACGTAGCGGATGGACCGTGGCTTTGAAGTCAGGGATACCTGGACAAGGATCCTACCTCCAACGCTCAGAAGCTGGCCAGCTCCTTGACCTTCGCGGGCCTTAACTCCATCAAATGCGAAAGGGGAATCACAGTCCCTATCCTCTAGGGGAATTATGAGGATCAAATGGGACACGACATATTCAGGTGCTCAACAGATGCTCGCCCCTTCTGTCCCCTACCATGTGGTAAAAGGCCTGTCCTGGGCCAGATTCACAAGGGAACGAAAGGGTAGGGCTGAATCAGTCATTGCTACAATCTGAGGCAGGGCTACCCCATGGCATTCCAGCAAGGCTGGGTGACAGAGAAACCCTGGTAGGTTGCTAGGTGAAATACAGGACACCCAGTTAAATGTGAATTTCAGATAAACGACGAGTAACTTTTTAGGTAGTACTTGTGTGTCCCCTGCAACGTCTGGGACGTACGCTAAACAATTATTCTTCATTTATCTGAAGTTCGCATTGAACTGGCTGGCTTGTATTTTTATTTGCTAAATCTGGCAACTCCGACTCACCTTAGGGTAGAAGCAAGTTCCATGGCAAGGCTTTCTGCCCCACTTCCTAATGTTTTAATAAAGGTCATCTCTGACCTTTATTAAAGGTCATTCTGGGTACAACCTAATAAGGAAACTCAGCACTGGGAGATACTGGGTGATGTGGACCCAAAGGGGAGGCCCAGCCAACTGTCTTGGGGATTTGGGAGGAGGGAAGGGCTGCTTGCCTCTGCCAGCAGAAGAACTGGAAGCCCCCTCTTGCCCTCCCTCCCACTCCAGGCCCCTCTGGAGGTGGAGTTGTGGTCGTTGCCCCATTTCTGTGCACACGCTCCACAACTTTAAGTCAGATGAGGGATTAAAAGCCATAGCCATCCTTGTTAGGATTCGATGGTGTTTTTTCTTATTTTCCAATCTGGTATTAGTATGGTAATGGGACTCTATTAAATCTAACAAGGAGCTGGATCTTAAAGCATTTGCTTATTTCCACCCCTTTGAACGTGCTTAGCAGTTGAATTATTTAAACTAGGAAGAACCAAGGGAGTTAGGAAGGAGGGCTGCCTGCCCCAGGCAGAGCTGGAGGAGGGTGCTAAATGTGGTTATCAAGAGATCAAAGACCAAGGAGAAACTCCTTTGATCTGCTGCTTGTCAAAGTTGCAGTTAGATCTTTGAGACTCTGCATTTGGCCCCTGCCTCCTCCCCACCCTTTCTTCTTATTTCTTCTCTTTTCCCGGACACCTGGAAGTGCTAGACGCAGGCATGCCCTGGAGAAAGCCGTGTGGCTGAGTGTGCTTGGGACACAAGAGACATAACCTCTCCTCGAGGAAAACCCCTTCTCTAAATACGGTTGCTTTCATTCATCATTTTTGAGGGGAGAAAAGGTAAGTGTGAAATCCCCCCAGTTATACCTGCAGATGCGTGTCCCAGTGTGTGAGCTGATATGAATCATACTGTGGTTTCAGTGCGTTTCCTTTGATACAAACAGGAAAGGTACCAATTGGCTGGGACTAACTTTGAGTTGCCTGGATTTTCCAAATGTTTGGAGTGGCGGGGCCGGGGTGGGGGGGGAGGCAGGAGGCGGGGGAACCCGGGGGAGGTCTGTCACATCTGAGCAAAGGCTGTTCCGTATCCAAGCCATATTCTACCTCTTCTGATTTCTGTGACTTTTATTTTCTAGATAACATAGGACTACACAACCCCATTTAAGAGCCCTGCTGTGTCTTCCCCTTGCCCCGAAAAGCTGCTTATCAGGGCCCTTAAGATCTTATTTATGGCAATCCTCTGAGCAGCCTCGGTCTCATTCTGAGAAGTTTTTACACCACTTGTACGAGTCAGGAAAGTACAAGAATAATGGGTACATTTCTGCCGATGAGTCAACCACTTCATCCCTATCAGTCTGTGCAAGATACAGGATGTCTGTGGTTTTAACGTTTGCGTCCTTAATGGACAAGATTTGATATGTGTTTCCTAACCCCGAGCTATTGAAATACTGATTCGCATCCTGACCTGGCCTCCTGGGAACGGAGCCGGCTCTCTGCATCTCTGCGCTCCGCATTTAGACCGTCTTCCTGCTGGTCTAGACTGTGAACACCAGGATGAGATTAGATTTGCTGGGGGTGGGGCGGCTGGGGAGGAATGTAAACCCCAGGGAAATAGCTGTCTGGCCTCATTTCTATTCGACAGAATGGGGCAGCTATTCTAGACGTTTCTGGCCAGTGTTATCATGTGTTTTTACCCAAATATCCTTTTTGCCTTCTTTTCCCCGTAGGTGATTTTTTTCAAATTTATTTTATTGAAGTTTAGTTGATTTACAATCCTGTGTTAATTTCTGCTGCCCAGCAAAGTGATTCAGTTATATATATATATATCTTCTTTTTCACGTTATTTTCCATTATGGTTTATTACAGGATATTGACGATAATTCCCTGTACTATACAGTAGGACCTTGTTGTCCTATTTGATTTTAATGTATACAGGCTGTCTGGCGAAAATAAGAAAAGAAATCCTAGCTAGAGATCCATTTGAACTTCCGAATAGAATTGTCTAAAAAATGTAAAGTATTTTACAAGGAATTCCAGAAAGATGAATAATTTATACCTCGTCGAAAATATCTTGTGACATGGAAAATATTAGAAGCCTTTCTGCTATTTGTGTGATCTTTGAGTATCGATGAAAGATGGTTTGGAACCAAGCTGTCACAGCCTGGTGCTGGGCACAGAGTCTGATGGGCTCTGACGCCATCCTATTTGAAGATGGAGGTGTGGGGAATGTGTGCCAAGCGACCATCCATCGTCATCAGTCCAACCCCTTTCTGCCATGACGATGCCTAAGAAATAGAAATAGAACAAAGGTGAACCCCAAGGAGACTAACGGGCCCTCGCGCAACATGTTTAATGTCTTCTTAAACATTGCTGACTCCCTTCCTTCATCCCCCTCTCTCACACCACTTCCCCAGTTTGCACCCACGCAATCATTCACCTGGACCAGGTGATGACTTCCTACTGTGCCTCCCCTTGCGCAAGCTTGTGCCTTCCCATATTCATCCTCCATACTATTGCCAGACTGAGGTTTTGAAGATACCCACTTGTTTACAATCCTTTAGGGGCTCCCTACTACCCAGAGTCCCATGGCCCTTTATTAACAGATACAGTCATCCATGACCTGACCCACCTCCATCTGCAGACTTGGCTTTCTTCCAAACCTATCTTGAACTTCACCTTCCAGAAATACTGAAATGTCATGTTCCGTGTTTGCCCTTGCACGTGTACTTTATTTTTCTTGGAGGTTCATTCCTTTCTCTTTCCCTTTTGGAGACTCCCCTCAAGGACATCTCCAGGAATCCTTCCGCATTTGCCATCTCTTTCTTCATTAACTTCCCTTCCTTTGCAGTACCTGTGTTTGCCTCCATCGCTGCCCTCTCCGTATCTACTGATTTCTTTTGACCCATTCATCTCCTTGACTACGCGGTGAACTCCTGGAGAGCGGGAGCAGTCCCTGTTTACCTTTGTGACTTACTCAGTGGAGCAGAGAAGGTGCTCATGAGGAGTCTTGACCGAAATTCAAGAGAGGGTGCTGAGAGCAGAAACAGGAATAATAAAGGCAAAAAGAAATGGGCATCAGTAACATTTTGATTTCGCTGACAACCCTTTAAGGAAGGATTATTATCTCCATTTTATTGATGATGAAACTGAGGGTCACAGAGATTAAGTTTGGCCAAAGGTCACAGACAGCAGTTGGGGGAGCCATAACCTGAGCATGAACACCTAGAACAGCTCCAAGAAATGATCAATAAGGATCAATAAATATTTGTTGAATTGAACTGGTTGCTAGAATATCTACCAGCATTATTCCTGAGTGGGTTCATTATCAAATCACACGTAGGAAGAGAATCTTCAAAGACCATCTAGTTTCTTTCGGTAGGATTTTATCTTAATACCGATTTGATATAGTAAAATTAGGTAACAGTCCCCCGGGTTTAAATATTCATTCATTAGTTCCTTCGGCAAGTATTTATCAAGTATCTTTTATATGCCAGGCACTGTACTAACACATGGGGGTGTGACTTAGGGGAAGAAACCTGCCCCAATGAGGCTTTTCTGGAAAATAATCTGTCTAGAAAAATCCCTGTAATAATGTGGAATGAACTAACCATTGACTCACCAGTGGATGAGATACTGTACCAACCAGGCTCATAAAAATCGTGCACACTAGTAGACCCAAGTCACTGAAGCCAGGAGCACTTATGAATCACCCAGGACTTCTGGATCTTTTTGGGTTTGTTAGTTGGAACAGAAAGGACTATAAGCAGCTAAGGAATTTATTGAAAAGATGAGTTGTGGCTCAGAGAACTACTAGGACAGCTGAAGGGCCAGGCTCAGGACCTGGGCAGAGTCAGAGGGAGGCAATGCATCAGATTTTTGGCTAACATCCCTCTGCAGAATGGGCCAGTGGGGATGCTGCTGCCACCTGCCAGTCCCTGTGGTCCACGTGGCTGCTGGTGCTGAATTCTGATGCCGCTGGTACCATTACCACTACTAGAAAAGAATTATCCTATGTCCCCACATCTCGTTACCGTCAACTTCTCTTCCTTATGCGTACGTATACCTGGTAAGCCCTGTGCACACTTAAGTCTGTACCTTGGCTGGAAAGGATGCTGGGAATGTGGGTACCCCACCTCTGCAGCTACTATAGAGGAGCAGGGGCTATGCCTCCCCAAAAGACTTATACATAGGAGAATTCTCCAACATAGGAAGGGCATCTAGACAGAAAAACAGTATCCACTATAGTCACTAATTTTAAATCTTAGGATTGAGGTATCTCACCAATGGCCACATCATACAATATGAAAACGAATAAATATTTATCTTTGTTAACACTCCTAATTGAATTCCTGAACTGCCTTTGGTAATTAGCATCAGTGTTTTACAGAAATAGTGGTCAAAGTTTTACCACGTGCCTTTCTTTCTGGAAATAATAAAAAATGGAACAATAATATTTTGTGACAATATCTATTTTCCTCCTTCCCTTCCTCCCTTCCTCCCTTCCTTCCTTCCTTCCTTCTGAAAACACTTATCAGGTGTCTACTATATGCGAGGCACTGTGCTTGCTACTAGAAAATCAAAGAGAAATAAGATGTGCTTTTTACCATCAAGTTGTCCCTAACAACATGGAGGAGAGACAGACATGGACAAAATAATTACCCCGCAATGTTAAAAGGCCTAGGATAGACACCTAAAAAGGGTTCAGTCAGGACATGAAAGGTTGTATGTTCATCTTTACCCTGTGGAATTGACAGGTTAGAAAAATCTTCATAGACAAGGTGGTACTTGAATTGAGTCTTCAAAGATGTAAGTGGTCACCTGGAGAAAAGACAGAGGGACATTCCCAGGTGGTGGGGTGGGGGGACTCATGATGAGCGAAGAGGGCATGAAAAATTGCTGACTAGTCAGCAACTCTGAGAGCTTGGGATCGCTGGGACATAGTGTTTGGGGAGATGGTTGGTGGACTGTGTGGAATAAGACCTGAATGAAATAAAATGACAGGCGCTCCTTGCATGCAAAGGGGTTTGGAGCTTATCTTGATGGACCACAGAGCCACTGGAGGAATAACATGATCCAATTTATATTTTCAAAAGATCAGTCTAGTGGCAGTGAGGAAAAAGATCTGGAATGGGATGAAAAACCAAGGGTCCAATTAGGAAATTATCACAGTCCAGGTGGAAGATGGTATAAGATCCTATAGTACTGTCATAGCAGTGGGAACAGAAAAGAGGATATAAAATAATTTTTTAGGAGCTGGAATGTGTAGGACTGTGTATGGCTGAGGAGAAAGCTGGTGGTGCCCTTCCTTTAACAGAGAACTCAGGAGGAGGAACAGAATTTTGTTTGGGGGCGAGAGGGCTGGTTGGGTGGAGACTGAGATGACTCTTTATGCTTTAACCATGTTGATCATCTAGATGGAGATGTTGTGTTGGTGGCTGCATATTAAAGGACGAGAGCTCAGGAGAGAGATCTGGAATTAGGGTCAAAAATAAAGAGTTCCATCTCTGTAGTTACCTTACCAAGAAATCTCTAGGCTCTCCTAGTTACTAGAGAAAACCTGAAAACATATATTCCCAAAGCGTGAAACTGGAAAAGTCAGGCTTAGTCTCAAAATTCCAAAGTTGGAGCTAAAGTTTGCACCTTCCTAAATCTCAGAGTATTTAAAGCAAATAATACCGTATTTATTGGGAGTTGCATTTATGACAGTGGAAAAGACACTGGGTTGGCAGTCACGTCTGTGTCTTCTATGGAAACTCTACCCACTACTTACTTTGCAACGGGGGTAAATTACTCTGGACTTGATTAGTTCTTCTCTGCAAGATGAGAACTAATTGATCTCTGTAATCGTTTTTGGTTCTAAATTAGCCTGAATGACTGGAGTCCCACCTTGGATACATATGAAGCCACATCCTTTTGATTTTTTTTTAACATCTTTATTGGGGTATAATTGCTTTACAATGGTGTGTTAGTTTCTGCTTTATAACAAAGTGAATCAGTTATACATATACATATGTTCCCATATCTCTTCCCTCTTGCGTCTCCCTCCCTCCCACCCTCCCTATCCTACCCCTCCAGGCGGTCACAAAGCACCGAGCTGATCTCCCTGTGCTATGCGGCTGCTTCCCACTAGCTATCTGCCTTACGTTTGGTAGTGTGTATATGTCCATGCCTCTCTCTCGCTTTGTCACAGCTCACCCTTCCCCCTCCCCATATCCTCAAGTCCGTTCTCTAGTAGGTCTGTGTCTTTATTCCTGTCTTACGCCTAGGTTCTTCATGACATTTTTTTTTCTTAAATTCCATATATATATGTTAGCATACGGTATTTGTCCTTCTCTTTCTGACTTACTTCACTCTGTATGACAGACTCTAGGTCTATCCACCTCATTACAAATAGCTCAATTTCGTTTCTTTTTATGGCTGAGTAATATTCCATTGTATATATGTGCCACATCTTCTTTATCCATTCATCTGATGATGGACAAATAGGTTGTTTCCATCTCCTGGCTATTGTAAATAGAGCTGCAGTGAACATTGTGGTACATGACTCTTTTTGAATTATGGTTTTCTCAGGGTATACGCCCAGTAGTGGGATTGCTGGGTCATATGGTAGTTCTATTTTTAGTTTTTTAAGGAACCTCCATACTGTTCTCCATGGTGGCTGTACCAATTCACATTCCCACCAGCAGTGCAAGAGTGTTCCCTTTTCTCCACACCCTCTCCAGCATTTATGATTTTTAAGTTCAATCTAGCTTGGGCCTCCAGAGATTGACAGGATACCCAATCTCTCTAAGGGATCCAGATTACTTAGTTCTGGTAATAAACACCTCTTGGAGAGGGAGCTGCCGTATGTGACCAGTCCATGAGGTGGCCCTCTTGTGGCTGCTTGTGCTCCGTCACTGCCTTCCTGTAGACCCACGTGGTCACTGCTCAGGGCTCCCATCCTCTCCTGTGACGATGCCATTGCTGGTCCAGGTCTCTGTGCCGAGTGGCTCTTTAGGACAGGATGATGTGCACATTCTCAGGGTCCACAGCTCTTGGTTTACATTTCCTTGCTTGGCTGTTCCCACCACCCCAGTACACCCACGTTATCCACCCTACACCAGAACCACATCTCCATCACTCTGCTCTTGTGGAGTTGGGGTTACATTTCTAGGCTCTCCCTTTGCCATCATGCTGAGACCCCCTCTGGAGGCCCTTGGTGTCTTTTCCTGCCAGCAGACCTCAGTCTGTCTACTCCAATCCAGCAGAGACTAGTTTGTGGATACCTACTTACTTTACATTAAAGTTATTCTTCCCAGAGCCATGGAAACCTCCAAGAGGACTCGCCATCTCTAGGATAGAGACGAGATTGCAAATTTTAAATAATGACCTACTTTTGTTAAAAAATAAAAGTTAACAATTCTGATTTACCCAGACACCCATTTCACATGGCACGTCTCTGTAAACAATGAACAACAGTAAGAGAAGGGAGAGACCCAAAAGGAGGGACTGGGAAAGAACTCTGAGAAGTGCAGCTTTTGTAGTCAGCATCCCGTGAAGCAGATACAGTCCCTGGTTGGAAATCATTTTGTCAGGATCCAAGTTTTCAGCTGAGGCTGTGGGAAATTCTTGTGGTGTGTGGCTAGGGGGGTGTCCATCATCACGACAGAAGGGATAGATAGTGCAGAGCCACCCACCCAGCGATCAGCTCTCCGCATATGGCGGCCACATGCCCAGAACTGCCCTTCCTGCTTCTCCCAGCTTGGATACGAAAGTGAGGGCCAACCACAGACTGCCTGGGGGTGGGGGTGAGGCTGGGAGTGAGAATGTCCACCCCACAGCATCACAGAAGAGCCAGCAAGTGGGAGTGCCTCTGAGACTGCTGAGTGATTTTTCAAAGAGAAAGGGCAGCTTTGCAAACAGCGTGGGGAAAGCAAGCTGGATTGATGAGTAAGGAGCAAAACATTCTAGAAAAACATCACCATTTCTTGCACAATCAACCACTGAATATGTGTCATCAAACACGAGATCATCCTTACCTGGCAATAACAGCTGAAATAGATCATTTAAGTAATTTTTCATTGTGACTGGGCCCAACATGGCCTTTAACCATCCCGTAACAAGAATACTGACACAGTAGCCTGAAGTACAGAAAAAGTTTATTTTCTTCATAATCAGATGAAAGTGTTGTGGGTACAGAGCCAGAGAACAGCCTCATATTGGAATTTTGGGGTGCCTTAAACTTAAAACAGCTTTTTAATTTTTTTTTTTTTTTACAGTAACTGTACCATCCCAGTAAACTTTTTCAGATGAAATGAAGAATTTAGGTTTCACTGGGAAATCTACATTCATCTTGAAGAGCGTACACAGTATCCTCAACTTTGTTATTCTCTGAAGATGAGTCCTTTGAGAATTAGGATCCTGTTTTTGCTTTGTAGTCATCGCATGTGTCAAGGAAAACATTAAAGACAAAGCCACAGATTGACTTCAGCCACAACAGCCTGATGTACAGAGCATGAAATATGCAATATGTGTAACTCCTGGACCCAGCATCCTACCTAATGAAAACCCAGGAAGGGGACTTGCTGATCCTTGGTTTCATAATTAGAAGTTCTGCAGGCACAAACCAAGTCAAGAGAAAAGGTACACTTTTATAACTAGTGGTTGCTATAATTAAAGTTATTAGTTAAGGAAGGGCCATTACTCCGGGCAAAACAATCAGAAGGAAGTTTTAGCAATTAAGTCAAATTCGCTGTGGTTGTGAGGGTTTGGGTTTTTTGTCCCCCTTTCTTTCTGGAAAACAAAACAACCTCAGGCAAGTGTTCTGTACTTCTCAAAGAGCATCTTGACTCCACAGTGGCTGGAGAGCAAACAGCGAACAGCGAACTGTGCTGTTGATTCTATCAGCAGGTTAATTAAGAAAGCTGTTAGTGATGATAAAAAAAAAAAAAAGCCAGGACATTTTCAATTCATATTGACAAAATCCATGACCTAGGCAGAACTGATGTTTGTTCAATACTAGGAAGACATGCTAGAGGCATTTAGAGGAAAAGGCCGACACAGAAAGCTGAAAGTCCGGTACAGGATGTCCCCTACCCTATTAATAATGTTAGCAGAACTGATCGTTTGAAATTCCACGTGCTTTTCCCTCTCATATAAATTATGTAAGCGGAAGCGTTCAAGACCTCAGATTCACTCTGAAAAACCCAGTTCACTCATAATGGAGTCGTTGTGAAATAGGGCTAGTTTGGTTAGTTGCGAAACTGAGTTCTAGTTGGGGATCCGAAGCTAATGTGTTACGTGGTTTGGGACAGTGGGTTTGACTCTGCATTTCGACTTCTAGACTATGCGTACCTTCAATGCAGTCCAGTCTCAGGAGCACAGAAAACCCACCTTTCCCGTGTAGCATTTTCCATTGGGGGAAATCTGTTCACAACTCCGGTATGGGATGGTAGGAATGCATTGCCCTCAGGGCAGTGGCACTGAGTGGGACCATCCTTCTGCAGGATAGAGTCACTCCATCTGCTGCTGGGGGGCTGGGCAAAGACTGATGAGTTTGAGATGAGACCATATTGCAGGTTGTCCTATGTTTGCAAACCCTGAAGTCAGACCTTGATCAGGAAAAATCTCCCAGTTCCCTAGTTAGGCTTTTATTTCATTGACCTTGGGGTTGGCTGTCCTGTTTCTCTTTCCATGGCCATTAGTCATTCCCAGCCCCCCCAGAATTTATCCCCTTGGGAACACCACAAACTGTTTCCTCATGCTACCAGCAAGTTACAAGTGCTTATGGGATTGCTTTAGGGGACATGGAAAAGGGGTAGAGGGAGTAAAAGGGTTCCTCCTAGACCTGGCATTGACTCTTGCTCCCTGATCCCTTTCTCCCTTAGGGAGGACACCACTGGTGAATCCCCAGTCCCCAGTTGGGACGGGCCCAGGGCAGGAGCCACCACAGAAAAGAGAAAGAAGGGAGAAGAGAGAGAAGGGACCTCTCTCAGGAGGCTCTAGGATATAAAGGAGATGTAACTGACAAACCTCTGACTGCAAATGAGGTCAGATGCCCTCAACATGTCATTTTGACACAGTTACTCACCACCTCAGAGTTGAGTTAACAGCATCATTTCTCACGGCCTTTTCTGTCTGTCAATATTTGAGCACCTTTAGTGACTTAAGCTCTAAACTTAATCCTGTGATATTTTGGACCCTTTAAAAGTCTGGTGGTAAAAGATACAAATATTGACTCCCAAAAGTGAGTTCAGAGATTTGATTGAGAAATTAAAATACACTTAAATAATCTCACTCACTCTGGTTTATAGAAAGCAAGGATATTGTGTATTTGGATGAAGTGGCTAGGTGGCGTATTGAAAAACCCAAATGAAAACGAGGAGAGAGACCTTATAAGTTACATGGAAGGACCACAGGACATTCCTGGGAAGGTCTTAACAGCAAGAGTAAAATGGACAATAGGAATTGGAATGAATAGAGTTGGAAGAACTGAGCTCAGAAAGTATAGAGGAGATGGAAGCTCAACTTGGGGAGCTAAACACACCACGAAGTAAATAAAAGCAGAATCTCAAAACTAGGATCTGTGCCAGAGGCACAGACACGGACTCTATTGCTTTTAAAGGATGACAGTTGAAGTAGCATGGGACTTTATTGGTTATTTATCTCCATTCCATCCTGTTTGCATCTCAGATTTGCTTCATATGATGGTAAAGCTTAACTTGTACAGTTATTTTGACCAAATGCCAGGCAGAAGGATGGAGGAAGGGGTGCCTCTAAAAATGGAAAGTAAGGGAAGCTAGTGAACATTTGACATTGGTTTTTTTTTTGACAAGTAGTCATACTACTTTCAGGAACATGTGCATTTTCTCCATTTTCACAACCTCTTTCTTCTAAGTCTCTAAATATCATTCTCTGATTATATCGTTTCCCTGCTCAAAATCCGTAAGTCTTTTCATGTCTGTGGAATGAAGTCCAGCTATCTCAGCCTGGCCCTTGCAAAAGCTCTTCATTATCCAGATCCACACGTGTTAAACCAAAATACATAGCAGACCTATGCCCATACATAGAAGGCATGTGACAAGTGTTGGTCCCCTTAGTGGATGTTAGTTTTTTCCATCTGGTATCCATTTCTTTTCCTCCTTCCTTTATCCTAAGATGACCCTTATTTTTCTTAGATCTCCCTTTATCCAACACTTGGAAATATGTCTCAGGGGAAAAGGGAGGCTCTGGTTGGTCTAAGAATAATCCAAATCCCCTTGCTAGTGACTGGTTTAGGAATGTGCTTATAACACAGTTCTGGCCAATGAGATGTGAGGAGAAGTGTGTCAGAGGCCTCTGGAAGTTTCCTTGCTTTTGAGAGGGTCTTAGGGAGAAGCGAAGTCTGTCTTTGGATGCTTTATGTTTGACTGGGTTTCCTGGAAGTAAGCCAACCCCAAGAAGAACAGAGAGATAGAAAGAACCTAGGTCATTAATGGCATCCCCAAGCTGCTGAAGCAACTACTAACTCTCAAGTCTTCCCTGCCTCTGGAGACCCTGTTATATTAATATGATACAATTTTCTATTTTAAATCAGAGTCAGCCTTTCAGCTACTTGCAGCCAAAAGCATTGTACACAATCTTGTTCCATTTTTATTTTCTGTTTCAACCTAATTGCAATCTGGATCTTTACCACTTCAGGGTCCCCAGCCAAATGCATCTGCGCTACTCTATAAATGCCCCTCAAACTCCCTCCCTCCCTCTACCCATCTACTGAAATCCTCACCATTAAAAACCTTATTAAAACATCATTACCCCTAAGAACTCTTTCCTGATAACCCACTCTCCTCCCAGCTGCCTGAATGTTTTCCCTTCTTCTTCGAATTCCAAAAACCCTTTCCTTACACCTCTTCCGTCATTTTTCCTATTCGGGCATCATAGTTATTCGTGTGAACGTCATGTCTTTTTCTAATTGGAAAGTCCTGGGTTGTATCATTTATAGTTTTGTAGTCACCTCCCATCTAGAATAGGGTCTGTTTTTTATATAAAGCACTTGAAATTTGTTGAAGGAATCAGATATTACTAGACTGATTTACCACCCACCCTCTGAGAACTCCATGGACACTAATTGGTGTAGTAATAAAGTAAGAACACTAATTACGCAGTTGATTCTTTAAAATGTCGCCTCCGTGTGAGAAATGTACGAAATGAAATTTTTAAAGAATCTGGTCCCTCTAGTAGGGCGATTGAGTGAAATTTAATGATGACAATTGAATGACATTGTAAACAATAGTATCAGTTCACTTAGAAAGCTCTTTGCATTTAAAATGCAAGAGTAAATCGCCTAAGGAACTTGGCTATGTTTTTTTCAGTTGATTGGAACAGTCAGATGCCCAAATTTCAAAAGCAAAACGGAAACGAAAGACAGTGCAGAAATTGTGCTCCCAACTCATCTGAAATATTGGCTCGTTGGATTTACAGTACTGTGACAAACCTAACGAATTAGGAAACTGACATCTTGGTTTGAGAGGAAGGCAATATATTGTACTGTTAAGTAGCAATAGAAAAATGACTCTTAAATCAGAAATCATGGGTCAATAAACTTGCATTTCTCTTTTATGGGATCTTTTAAAACAATGACATTATTTGTTGATCTCTGATCCAAGTCTGACTGTAAGGATGCAATTAAGATTGGAGAGACATTTTAACTTCATCATATTTTATTGATTTTAATTAATTTGAAATATTTTATACATGCAGAAAAACACAGACGCTAACATTTCAGACACCCCATATACCGAGCATCCTGATTTAACATGATAATATTTGGCTACATTTGTAATATTTATTTTATATTTTAGATCTCATCCTTTTGTGTGATACTCAGAATAAAGTTCTACTCAGATTTTGAATTCACTAATTCATTATGATTTTCTTGAGTTTTATTTTTAATTTAGGCAAAATTTATATAGAGTAAAATGCACAGTAAATAAGTGTAAGTCCAATGACCTTTGACAGACCTACACATCTGTGTGTAAATAAACATCCCAATAAAGATGTACATTTTCATCACTCTAAAAAGTTTGCTCGTGCCATGTTGCAGTCAATCCCTCTCAAGAAGCACATCCTGTTCTGTCACAGCAGATTATTTTTGTCTGTTCTTAAATGTCATTTAAACGAAATCATATGGTATATTCTCTTCTGTGTCTGACTTCTTCAGCATGACAAAATGGGTTTAAGATTTATCCATGTTGTCACACGTTTTAGTAGTCTTTCTCTTTAGGTTGTTTAGTAGTTTTCAATTGTATGAATAGACCACAATTTCTTTGTCCATTCTTCTGCTGATGGACTTTAGGGTGAGTTTGGGATTATGCATAAAGTTGCAATGAACATTCTTGTGCATGTCTTTTGTGGATGTGTGTTTTTATTTTCTTGAGTTAAATACTGAGAATGGAATTGCTGAGTCATAGGGAGGTACATTTTTAACTTTATAGGAAGCCAACAAATTTTTTTTTCCATAGGAGTTGTACGATTTATATACCCAGCAATGGTATGAGCATGCCAATCACTGCACATTCTTGCCAGTATTTGATGGTTGTTAGTCTTTTTAATTACCATTTTTTTAGTGGAATGAGCGGCTTCTCATTGTGGTTTTAATTTGCATT